CGAAGGAGAGCTTCCGCCATTAAAGTGGGAAAACTCGCGTCTATGGTTCTCGTATATAGCTGTATGTAAACAGTAGCGAGTGGACGCTGCTGCAAGGTATGAACGGTTCAGTCTCAGAGAGCAACCCACCATATATGAACTGATTTTCCCCCTCTGAGGAAATGGAAGCCAGATGTCCTCCGTAGTGTATTGCAGATGCCCTCTGCCTCAAACCATGTTCTTCTTTCGTGGAACACCTTAAATTGTGCTCTTGAGGCATCGTCCTGTAGAGATCGTTAATTCCTACCTTGTACTTGTATCTATTGACTGGTAAGACTCCCAAATTGTCTAACCAATATGCCCAGCCGTCCTCTTCTACATATACTTTAAACACTGGTCTCACTCCATCACGATGAGCAGGAATAGAATTATGCACATCGTCTCCATCATGCGCGTAAGAACAGCTCCATAGCTGCATAACGACGAAAAGTCAGAGAGAAGTGGATGAGAGGGGAACTACATCTTCTTGAGCCCCATTAAAAATGATCTATCAAATTCAAAGAGATTACGTTGGACTGGTGTTGATGCGAAGGTTTTGTTACCCCGGGTATTTGCATGAAATTCACCTATCACTTACTGAAACTCTGAACAACTACGCGTTCATACACTGCGGAACTACAGGGGGGGGGGGGCAAAAAAAGTCACTTTTCTTCATTGACTTTCGAGGCGCTATAAATTACACTTTATTGAATTCTGATCGGACATTTTCACCCATATTAAAGAGCATATTAAATACTATCATGACACTCCGCCACAGCCTTCTGGACGAGCGCCATCGAGAGATTCTGGCACGCGACCGCGATGTGGTGCCTGAGATCAGCGAGATAGTCGATTTCTCCGCCACCGTAGACCACCCTATTGAACTCCGCCCGAACCGGGTAATTGAGGGGATTCAGGTCAGGTGACCTACTTGGATATTCCATCTTCTTTAGGTACTCAGCCCCCTTCCATTCCAAGTAGGCGAGAGTTTCTCCAACGCCCTTCGATTCCATGTGGTGGCACCCAATGCTGTAGCAGTACAAAGTTTCCAAGAAGGTACGGACGACGACATGTGAGGAGGATATTCTTCACGAGTTGCTCAATGTAACCGCCAGCGCTCACCTTATGTCCGGGGTCCACGAAGAAAATATTGGTCTTCCCATTCCAGGTACCTCCGTCCATCATCAACCCGCGCCTTGACGACTGTGGTGAAGATGATGTCCTGGACCGTAGCGACGTTGCCGGAGCTGCTCTTGGAGGTCTTCCAGATCGAGAGTACTGGTCTCCAGGTAGCTATCCATGGGTGACTCCATACTAGAAGTTTCGCAGCTGTTTGGAGGTGACATGAATTCCAAAGGTCTTCTCCAGTCAGGCTGCGACTGGAGATGACTTCATATTTTGGTGTACATGAAGGTGATGGCTCCTGCTTATAGAGGAACATCTTGGGTATCTTCCGCCCTGGTACTCGTATCCACGTCCTCTGTCTGGGCAGCGAAAACTTTGCTGATATGTGACTCGGTCGGAAGTGACTTTTTTGTGCCCCCCCCCTGTAGATGATGAAGTGAGTGGCGAATCGGCGATTTGCAGAAGAGGGAGAATCGTGGTATAGAGGAATACATTCGAACCAGTCAAAGGAACTGCCGATTCTTTCATTTGCCTGATCGATAAGTATCTTATCTTCTTGTCGCATTCGGCGATTTGCCCATCCTTCAGCCCTCCAGTTTTGTGCAGTATAGACGCAGCCAGTTATCACCGCTAACGGATCAATTGCAATGACAAAAATCGACGTGAACTTGTGAACTTCCGCTTCAAGGATTTTCATAGCGAGTCACAAAGTTTCATCTCGATCATTTTCATTAACAGATTCCTCTAGCGAGCTAATTTGCGTAATTTAAATCCGAATATGCTTGGAGACAGGGCACACCATTTTTTTAGATTTTAGTCGAGTCCGTACGCCCCCCTTCTGGCCCTCCCCTCTGTCCTTCCTCATTGAACTGTAGAGCGGGTGAGGGGGGGGGATTGGTGAATTATATAAGTACACATGAAACACGGAAAATCCACAAATTCAACATGCCACCTTACCAGAAAGCGAGAAAGTGAATACGATCCTTCCTATCCCAACAACGAGCAAGTACGACCCTCTCCCCTTTACAACGTTTGTGAAGCGAGAAAAAACAACTATCAAAATCCTCTCTCCTAGCGACCGAATAGACATTCCATTCTTATTACATTCCGACGATTTATTCCAGATCCCCCAACAATGAGTCCTGCTTGAAGACCGAGTAGCATCATATAGTCATTCGGAGAACTCGCCCGAAGTCTAACTAGCTCGCCCACTTTCAGTCCCCTACAGAGGTATTTCTATGGGCATCTTCAACGGTTTCTTTTGCTTTTTTCTTCATTAGCATAAACCTGCGAAAGGCGATCGTGCACGACTTTAAGTCCACCTAGCCATCACTGCCAGGGACTGCTTAGCACCGCTGGATGACTCTGATGCGGCTCTATATCTTTGCTCAGACACGTTATAATGCGAATTACCTGCAATCACACTATTACCATCTCAATATGCAGCACAGTGGAGCGAGCACGACTACACGGACCCTTCCCAACTTTGGCCTGTTTTGTCAGTAGACTCACAGTGAGTGCAGTGCAGACAGTGCAGTGTCCCAGGTATCATGCTCCACTCTGCTCCAGAGAGCTGGACGTGTCGTTCTCGCTTCTTCCCGGACCAGCAGAACTTCGTCAGAACATTTCGAAAGAAGCCTTGGCTAGCGAACAACAGTCAAGTTCGTTGTTTGCTGTGCTTGACTTACATGTGGAGAAAGTTCATTATTATGCCAAGAGGTGGATCATCGGCAGAGCAGATGGAATGAGTTAACGTACCTATCACTGCAAGAAGGCAAGAAGCAAAATGATTCTTCCACTATGATCTCGTTCTTATAGAGCTTGATATGATATGACTAACACGTTTGTACAAACTTGATGATTATTGGTGAAAAGCTTTCAATGGTAATATCGAGATCTCGCGCATCACTCTAATATTCCACTGTTTGTGCAAGTCCCGAGCTGCATAAGTGGCAGGTTTGTGAAAAGCACTTGTTCGACACTGTGGTATGCAATGGCGGAATTTCTCAATACTAGTAGCAGGGCACATATTGCGTTGCGGTTTTGGTCGGTCCCGTGCGAGCCCCCCCCTCTGAGAATTTGTTGAAACCAAACAAAAAGGGGTCAGGTCCGCCCTTGCAAACATAGCAGCAGTTCTGAGGAGAGGGAGACCCTTTTCTTTCCAAATATCTCCTGAATACTCTGAAATTCTCGGTGCGAATGACACAAATGCGTAATGGGTTGAGGAAAACTCTGAAATGATTCTTTACCTCTACTTTTAAGATCATTCTTTACCTTTACTCTTAACTTTAAGAATTATAGAGAATGAGCTGGTGCCGCTTCCAAATGCACGTCACACTAATACTCCCCCTCCTTTCGGTGGTTGATAATCAAAATAGGCATGTTTCCAGAAGGCATCCAACCAGGTCGTTCAATCAACAGTTGTAGATTTTGTTACTACTTTTTCCAGACATCCCTTTGTTACCTTTCACCACTAATGGTTCTCATCGGGTTTTCCAGTGCTCCCAACACTGTGGCCATGTTTACAGACTGAATGGGAAACCACCGAACACACTACCCAAGAGCCATGAATGAAGTGCACAAAGGTCCCTGAGACCGTAACGCTAAA